GTTCACAGAAGACAATGACACTTGGTTCTTGAGTTCACCAAACTCACAGGACAAGTCTCCTCAGGACTTTACTGAAACTCCTCACTCATGAACAAGGACCTCCTTCTGCACAGTGACAGTCTGTCATGTGAAGCCGCCACCTGATGAGACTTTAACCACATCTGAAGAGGCAGCGCCCTCTTCTGGTTTCCCTTCAAACTGCACCACAGCTGTCTGAAAAATACATTGTGAATAAACTTGAAACCTCACCCAAAGGAGGCAGGTCTCAAGTTCACAGTGGATGCCTGAAATCACCAGGGTTACTGAACTATGTGTATCCGGTGGCATTTAGTGTGATTAGAGTATATAAACACACACACACACACACACACACACACACACACACACACCCCTCTGATAAAATTTATCTACTTTTTCTCATTTTATTGTTTTTTGAGAATGTTATGCAATGAATTTTGATTATACTCACCTGCTCTCTCCACTCTTGCCATATCCATTCACTCTTCCCTACCAACACAGCTTTGTACCCTCTCCCCATTTATAATAAAATACCTCAAGGTTTGCATTACTGGTTATACTGACCATATAGTCTTGGGTGTGTAGCCTTCATGGGATAGGGTGTTCTATGAACTAGGGGCTTCACCTTTAAAGAAACCTGGATCCCTCTCCCAGCAGCTGCCAACTGCCCATAGCTATTAGCTAAATGTAGAATGTCCACCTTTCCTCTGCTTGCTGGAACTGTGTCTGGTCTGGTCATTTGCAAGTCTTATATGTGTTGTCAACCTCTGTGAGTTCATGTGTACAGCTGCCCTGCTGTGTCCAGAAAACACAGCCTCCTTGTTGTCATCCCCCACCTATGACTCTCACAGTTTTTAGTCCCCAGAATGGTGCGACATAAGGATTTCAGCTTGTGGAGCAGACCTTAAATCAAATCAGAAGTCAGTTGGTTACTCCCATGACATTTGTGCCACTATTGAACTAATGGCCATGTCTGCCAGGCTGTGGTTGTAGTTTACAGGGTCCAAAGATCAGAAAGACTGACAATCCATTTTCTCCTTCAGCAGGACGAATAGCACATTCTAGTACTATGAAAGCTACCCACTAGGAATGGAGCATCAAAGTTAGTATCAGTTTAATTTCTCCATGTTCTTTGACTTATTCGAAAGGTTCCTACCATCAAGTTTCAATGGGTGATCAACAATATTGAGTATATCCCATAATATAGAGAGATATATGGAACCAATGTAGTAAACAGGAAGTAAGCTAGTTGTAGCACTTAGCTTTTTGTTTCTTATCCTGTGGTATCTAATTGGGGCATTGTTGCCCCATTACAGGGTAATTGCATTGAAACTCTTTATGTACGTGTGTGTGTGTGTGTGTGTGTGTGTGTGTGTTTATGAAGCTTCTATAGTACATTTCTGTATGAATTTTTCAAAAGGTATAAAAGGAAACACCTTTACCAGCTATATATCTGAGGTAAGTATCTAGAATATAAAAGTAACTGAAAATCTAAACATGGTTAAAGCAGGCAACACAATGAAGAACAGAACATGGAACTATACAGATATTTCTCAAAAGGTGACATACAAATGCCGTTAACACCACTAGATATAGTGAAAATACAGATTAAAACTACTTTGAGATTTAATTTTACCCAGAAAGAATGACTAATGTCCAAAATAAATGAATATACTACTGTTTAATTACCCATTCATCAGATGATGGTTGTCTAGCCTATTTGTATTCTCTAGATACCATGAATAGAACAGCAATGAATATGAATAAGCAGAGTCCTTTGGGTATATTCCAAAGAATATACAGCTGGACCATCTGGTAGACACATTTCTAGACTTTGAGGAAACTTTACATTGATTTACATTGATGCACCGGTTTGTATGCACATCAGCAATGAATAAATATTTCCCTGACTCCAGATCCAAGCCAGTATTTCTCTTCATTTGCATTTTGGATCCTAGCCACTCTTCTTAGAGTGATATAAAATCTCGAAGCAGTTTTAATTTTTCATTTATGTAATAGCTAAGGATGCTGAACATTTTTAAATGTTTCTCAGCCATTTGTAATTCATATTTGGAGTACTCTCTGTTTAGTTCCATGCTCCATTTTTAAATTGGATTTGTTTCTTGATGCTTAGGGATCTTTAGTTGCCCTCTGCATATTAAGATTTTGTCATATGCATAGCTTAAAAGGTTTTTTTTAACATCCTGTGGACTCTGTCTCCACCCACATAGTGGTGTCCTTAGCTGTGCAGAAGGCACTGAGATTCATAAGATCCTATTTATTAATTGCTGGACTTAATGCCTGTGTCAGGGCAGAGCGGAGGAGGGAAAATAGTAATGGAAAGTCATATGAAAGCTTACCTACTACTCTAGAAGCTTCTTGAGTATATACACATATTAAAATAGACTTACCCTATAATAGGATGACAAGGCCCTTACTAGACAACGCAGGATAACAAATTAAAATCCTGGTGTCAGGAATGGGTTTCTTTTTATGGAGTTATTGTCCAATGGGGTCCTATATTCTCCAGAGCATTATAGCTTATTGCCAGTGGTCTTGGTTACTCTCTAGAACTTGATGACAAAAATCCTATACTTGAATCATAACACATGAAGAAATGAAGCTGGTACTTGCCTAGAAGCCTCATCACTATTGGTTAATTTTTACAGTGCTGGAAAATACTGTGCATAATACGTGAGGCAACGAAATAATCATTGTTCTTACCCGGCTATGAACAATGAAAGCCTAACCAGCCCTGTTTGACATTGCCAAGCTTCACCCAACAGGGTGAGGAAGAAGCCAGTCAGCCATCTTGGAAGTTCACCATTTTTGTTAAGGATGTGGTCCCTCCCCTTATCTCTCTGGTTATCAGTGAATCTATTTAACTTCTGGCCCCTCTTGTCAATGGCAATTTTTACTCTTCTACTGTTTCTCATGGTTAAATTTATTAAGATTAGCAGTGTAGGGCCTTTACCTAAGTCCTGTCTGGGATGCTGTAGGACAGCTATGAATGTTTTGTGACTACCGTTCTTGGTGACACTTTCAGCTTCCTAGATGCTTGGAGCCTGGGGATTCTCTTCTCCTTATAGACTGTTAACCTCTAGACACAGATGCAGGCTAGAGAACAGAAGTCAGCATTGTATTTTCCAAGAGCATCTCCAAATTATCAAGAACACCTGTCCTCTTCAATTATGCAGTCTCTGAACTTACATGTCCCTGTTCCCATTACCAATATATTGAACCCATTGGCTAGTTGTAGGCATAGAGCCACCAGAACTCCCAGAGTTTATCCATTCTCCCATTTATCACAGGGGATTAGCCTCTGGACCCTGATTTGGAGCTATGTTCCTAAGAAAGAAAAGTTAGTTATTCCTAGCCCTGGCTTTTAACCTAACCAGCCACAGGAAAGCTTAGTTTATACACAAACACACACACTGGGGCCACTGACAGAGCTTAAAACCAATTCTTAAAAGGCAGAAGTACCACTATCTTGTCATCTGCCATCTGGTGTTTGCTGCCGCATCTTGATACTTAAACATGGTATGAGATATCTGAGGGTCCAGAGCTGATCAGAAGAAATTACAAAGCTGTTCCATTCTCTGCCTTTCCTGAGAACGAAGTAAGAGGTAACGGTTTAAATTCAAAGAGGCATGAATGAGGGAAGACTTTTACATAGATCCCAGGAATGCAGAGCTTGGTGTTCTGTTTTGTTGGCTGGTTGTTTTCTAGTTTTTTGCTTTGTATAGGTGGCAGGCGAAACAACTCAGGTGTACATGGCCAAAGGACCTGATTCCAGATACTGACATTCACCAAAGATTGACCTGTAACAGCAGCTCTGAGTTTGTGATCTCCTATCAATGGAGGTAAAAGATGTGGACTGTGTGTGTGTGTGTGTGTGTGTGTGTGTGTGTGTGTGTGTTGAATTCAGCAAGGTGAAAACTGATGGAAGCCAAAATATACATGATAACTTTGACACAGGCTCTGAGCAGTACAAAGGATGCTGCTATGGGCTCAACAGGAGTAGGGTTAGTGTTTGCACCTGGATCCCTGAAGAAATTCACAGAAGTATGATCAGATCTGAGACTCCATCTATGAAGCACTTGTCTTCAACCAACATTGATCATCTGATCATCCAAATGAAGTCACAGCGTATCTCCCAGCTGCAAAGAAGGAATGTGACTGAGTTCAAACAAGATCCAGCAATCAGATCAGTGTTGCTATTAACCAAGCTTTCCTTCCAGTAAGTTGATGCAGAGATGTACAACTCCCCAAGGTACTGAAAATAAGGGTTGTGTCCAAACCTAAATGGGACATTTGTATCAGCCCCTCCAAAGCTAGGAAAACATCAGAAAGGAAGGGATGGAAAAAATGTAGACTCCCAAGGATAAGATTGCTCAAAGTGCTGAGAAAAAGAGACTGTGAGTGGTCAGCCATAGATGAAGCACCTCTACCAGCTCTGCATCCCAGCAAAACTTAGGCAACATCTTGGGAAAATAGTGAAAAAAATCAAAAAACAAAAATAGTAAGTCCTAGAAGATAGGGAGGAAAGCTTCAAGATACTGTTCTCTGGACATGGCAAGGCTGTTGCACACATGAATTCATAGGACCTGTGGTTACCTGAACCAGACACGCACAAATTCAAGACAGCTTAAAATTCAAGCATGGAAGTGAAAGAGGCTCCTGAGGCCACATTGTTTGCTGAGGAGCTATTGACAATTGATGGCTGTTGGCACAATAGAGTCATTTTTCTTTAGGAAAAATTGTAGGATACCCATGTGTCAGTAGATGATCCCACACCCATAAGTCTGTGAGCAGCACTAAGTAGATTCAGTAGGTTATGGGGGGGAAAGGATGAGAAGGAATAGGAGACATGAAGCATAGAGCAGTATGTGTCTAGGATAAGGTATTTTCATAAACACTTTTCAAATTGAGCATGCTCCAGTTCAGGCCTTGCTGGGGCCCAGTGGGTTTGGGTGCAGAGTTCAGGTGCCTGAGGAGCACTGTGTGCTCACTGCACACAGGTAGACAGCCGAGTCACTGGGCTGGGAGTCTCTGATGTGCAGGGAAACATGCAGGCTGGCTTTATTGAGGTGAGCTGTGAATCTGCCTTCTTCCTTTTCACCATTGGAGATGACATACATCAGCGCCTTGGGGCTTTTCCCAGGATGCTGTCTGTACCACCAGATGTACTGAGAAGCCCTATCACTGAAAGTGCAGTTGAGAGAGGCCATGGCTCCTTCTGGGACACTGAGGGATTCCGGGGTCTGCTGCACCTTCTGCTGGCTGCTCACCCCTGTGTAGAAAGACAAAGGTCAGACACTCAGGACTGGATGCATATGGATGACTTTTCCATGGGCCTCTCACTCCCTAACCAGAGATTAAAAACATCTGTGTTTCTACCATTACCCTAAGGGAGCAAAAACATTACATATCACACCTCTATCCCACAGACATTCCCAAACTTACCATTTAACTGGAGCCACAGGACCATGAGGGAAACACCTAAGGATTTCATTCTCTTCCTCCCTCTTCACTGAGGATTCAGATTCTCAACTCTAAACTCACAGAGTCACATTCAAAGTTTCCACATCTCCTGCTTAAGGAAACATGAAAAGCAGCTTGGCTAGCAATCAGAAGAGTGACTCTTTCACCACCACAGCAGCACCAAGTCTGTCCTCCAACCCTTTCTCTACCCCTCCTCCTCTTCCTGTCCTCCCCTCTTCCCCTTCTCCCCCCCCCTTGAGAACTTTGCCCAGGAGCCTAAGAAAACACTGCCACCTTGTGGGCTCATGATAGTGAGCAAAGAAATATTCAAACTGCAAGCTCTTCTAAGCTAACTATTAAAAGGTAAAACACTTGACAGTTTCAGTAGGTGTTTTTAAGACACATGTTCTCTAGGTCGGGGTTGGGGGGTGGTAGGTGGTAAGGTGAGTATGCGTGTGCACGCATTGAGACCTTGCAGAAGCTGGTGACTAAAGACCTTTTCCTACTGAAGAGATTTAAATAACCATCCACAAGACATGGTTTGATCATGTCCTTCCTTTACCACCAACAAATGGAAAGGGAACAGAATGAGGGAGAGATGCTCAGACTCAAACTGTTTTCCAAGAGTACATTGTCCATGACAATACTCATTTCTCAGTAAATATGAAACTGTAAGAAGGAAGTAATCAAAGTGTCAAATGCTTATAATCCCAGAAGAGATTCAGGTTTGGGAAGCTGAAGCAAGAGAATGTGACCGTAAGGCCTGCCTGAGACATATAGGGAGAAGTTGTCTCAAAAAAGAAAAAAATGTCTAAAGGAGGAGAGACAAGAATGAAGACAGCAAGCAAAGCTGCTTTGGGAAATGCCCAAAGAGAAAGAAGAAACTAAACTTGAAGGGCAGTTTAGTAAGATACTAAATTTTCCTCCCTATAACACAAATAAGAAAAACCCCTGGGGCTCAAGCTGAAGATCAGAGAAGCAAAGCAGCCAGCTACTAGAGAGTTCTCACCTCTACCAATGCTCAGACTGAAGGGGCTATCCACTGAACCTCAGATTGCATCTCCAGACTGCACTGCACGCCACCAAGCCTCAGAATCCTTGACTGCTCTCAATACACTCACTAGTGCCAGGATTAAAGTCTTGAGCCTTGTTTCTCTTTTAGACTGATTCACTCTCATATAGCCCTGGGTGGCTTTGAACTCACAGAGATCCATCTGCCACTATCTCCTGTATCCCTGGATTAAAGTTGTGTGCCACCCCTACCCAGATTCTAAGGCTATGGGTAGCTTTGCGTTCTGATCTTCAGTGGCTTTATTAGATCATAAACAATATATCACCACAATTCCCCTTTTTTGTATAATATGAAAAGAAGGCTACAGCTAACATAAAAATATGTACAATAAGTACAATAACTACATACAATATATACAGGCAATAAGTATATCAACAATGTCTAGTCCATTTGCATTTGACAAATTCAGAGAAAATACTCCATATCCATTGTATCTTGGTAAGTGCAAAAAGGTTGTACTTAATTCACTTTCTTATATTTTTGGTTTTGAGCCTTGCCTTTAACAACTGAGGTATCCCTCCAGCCCCTTAATTCACTTTCTATTCTAATTTGAATTATCCTTTAATGTCTCTCAACCTTTCATGCTTCACAGCTCTTTAGTGTGTTTCTTTTCTGAATCTGGTAAACAAGAAAAACTGTAACTATCACTTTCTAGTTTTCAACACCTTCAGAGAAGAAGAAATAATATTATTGAGTAATCAGGAAGTGTGAACAAGTGAATTCCAAAAAATGTGAGAAATGACAAAAACAGCTAGCTGCCTGGACAGTTACCTAAGGCTCCTCTGCAATGTTGGGGCATCCATCGTTAGCCTATAGGCCTAGCATATCTGACAGACTTTTCTATGAAGCAGGATTTAGGAAGGACTGTCCCACCTTGACTTGGCAAGGTTTACAGTCACTCTTTTTTTGTCTCCTGTTTGTCCAACTTGAACAGCATACTGTCAGCACTCAAGGAAAGGGCGCTTTATTGCCCAGTGGCTTCTTTTGTCACAAAGAAAGTAAACTTCTTGCAGAGTTTCTTCAATGTCCATCATCTTCTCTGTAGTAGATTGGTGCTGCCAGGAGCAGACATGCCTCATTGCCACAAAAAAGAACATATGATATTAAAACATCTTGAATGCCATATTTTGTAGATCTCTGAAGTGCTTGATGACAATCTGTCTAGGTAAACTATATCCGATTGACCTTATAAACATACCTAATATGACTACAAATTTGATTGTAATAGGTAACTAATTACTAACCTGCATTTCCTTATTATCCTATATAATTGGTCATAATAACTTTCAAGGATTAGAAATTTGCATTACATTGTTAAATGCACTGTATAGGTACAATACCTTTAGCAAGATTAGAAATGTATTCAAAATATGTTTTAACAAAGCTAATCTCAAATTTGTATCAATATACAAAATTTGTATACAAAAGTCCAGTCCAATGTAAAATGCTTAAAACTAGTAGTTGCTTTTTAAAAGTAGATTCAATAATCTACAATTTTATCTGATCATATCTATATCCTCACTTTATTCTTTTCAGAGTAGATTCAATAATCTACCCTTTTTTATTCTATCACATCTATATCCCCCAGTTTTCTGACCATTACCAATAACAATTTGTAACCAATCTCCCTAAACAATGAAAAATATCCATAACCCAATGAAACACCAAAAACTACCCACCCCACCTTTTAGGAATTTGTGTGTGTTTTCTTAAAAGTACTTCCTGCTGTCTGGGGCAAAGTTACTTTTAGGGGATCCTGGGAAAGAAAAATTGGGGCTTAATTGTCAAGTCCTGGGAGAGGTAGCTGTATCATTTATTGTCCAGTCTCTGCATAATGGGAAAGTGCAGAGCTTCTCTCAAGTCCTGGCTAGAGCAGTCTGTGAGCCTGGATTATGTCAGGTAGCCAACTCAAAATTGTTCTGAGCAGTTTGTAGTCCAGAGCCAATCATTAGTTGGAGTGGATCAGCTTAACAATGTTATCATAGTCCTGGTGGAATTGTTGTCTGTGGGGTTCCATCTTCTTTTTGGAGACTTCAGAGATCACATTAGGTCAGTTTATTTTTCTTGTTATTTTTTTCCAGGTAGTTCTCCCTTCTTTGGATGCTCATTTATCCAAGGGCCTTTAAATTCCACAAGATGGTTGGCTTTATTTTCCTAAAATGACAAAACAAAACCCTTCCCCAACCCTAACTTTGGGGAGGTTCCTAATCTAACCTTTGTTTTTAATAGTATTTTTGCTAAATTAGAAACAATCTTATTTTACATATCAATACCAGTTCCCTCTCCCTCCCATCCTCCCATGCACCCCCCCCCCCTTCTTCCCCCCATCCCCCCCCCCCAAGGTCATCCCCTCAGTCCCACTCCCCATCCACTCCCCAGGGAGAGTAAGGCCTTCCATGGGGGCTCATCAAAGAGTGTCACATCATTTAGGCAGGTCTTAGGCCCTCCCCTGTGTATTAAGGCTGAGAGAGTATCCCTCCATGAGGGAATGGGCTCCCAAAGTTCATTCGTGCACTAGGAATGAATACTGCTTCCACCACAAGAGACTCCATAGACTGCTCAGGCCTCCTAACTGACACCCAGGTTCAGGGGGCCTGGTTGAGTCCTATGCTTGTTCCCCAACTGTCTGTCTGGGGTCCATGAGCTTCCACTTGCCCAGGTCAGCTGTTTCTGTGGTATTCCACAACATGGTCTAATGTAGTCTTTATCAAGTTTGATTTATGGTTTCTCCTGAATTTTTTGTTCTATCTTCTAAAGCTCTTCTGTCATCCAGAACAGTATGCTTTCTAATAGTTCTGGAAGCAGTTTTCATGATGACAGGAAAGGACTGAGCCTGATTTGGTGAAGGGGTCTGCGAGAGACCCCTCAAAGAGTTTTCCCGACAGCAAAGGATTGCCTTGAATGTCTCTGATTTATCTACGCACATTAGTCCAATGCCTGCCTTTGCCGACCTTTGCATAATCCAGAAGGGTGGGGCATTGTTTCTAGGAATGCCCTGTTTACAATCCCTTTTAAAGTGGTCTTGTTTGCCACAGTTAAAACACTTGATATCTTGATTTTACTTTAAACCTCTTGAAATCACCTTTCTTATCCATGCAGCATCATGGTCAAGAACTTCAATATTAATTGTACTCAGATTTATTTCTCCAAAGGTCCTGACCTTGCCTTTAATGGCCTAATTATCCTTAACATTGAGAATTAACATTTTCAAAAGCCAGAGTTTCAATTGTCATTTTTCAAGCTTCTAAATCTGACAATATTCTATTTACTGCTAATGCCAGTCTTTGAAAGAAATCTATGATGGATTCCTTTGGGTCCTGTATAACTTTAGTAAATGATTCAATTTTCTTTCCTACTTCTCAAATTCTGTCCCAAGCATTCAAAGCTGCTGCACAGCATAAAACCAGGGCATCATTATCATATAGAGATTGCCTTTCCATAGTAGCATAGTCTCCTCCTCTGAGAATTTGATCTTGGGATATTTCTATCTCTCTAGCTTTACACTATTGTTCAATAGTCTTAGCCTTTTCTCTGAACCAGGTACCCCATTGTAACTGTGAACCAGGCTCTAAGACAGTATTAACCAAGTCTATCCAGACTTTAGGGGTAATTCTATTATAAACTGACCAGGAGTTTATCATTTGCTTCAAAAATGATGCTTGCATGTCATATGAGACTACTGCTTCTTTGAACTTCCCTAAATCTAACATTGTCAAGGGTATCCAATTAACTCTTAATAGAACCTCTATCATTTTGCACTTCCTGTAAGGTTTATGGACATATTAAGATTGGTTTTCTTAAGACCTTAAGACCTTTTCTTAAGTTCCTCTCATAATGCAATGCTAAACTTGGTTCCCCTTTAAATTTGTCTGTCTGGATTTGAATACCTCTACGATCTGCTTTAATAACTTTTTCTAAGGCCCGTATCTTGGCACTCATATCAACCAACTTTTTGTAGA